GGTAACAATTCTGTACAAAGATGGTTCAAGTGCATTATGCTCCAGAAGAGACAATGGAAACAATGATCATAAGAGAGTTTGTGAGGCACACAAACACCTTCTTTACGGAATTTTTCCATATTCCTTAGATGTTTAGGTATTGTTTCATGAGAGATGTGCAATTTCAGGCCATTTCACGAGTGTGTTGCCTTGTGTTAGACTAAACAAACGTCTTCAGAGCATCAATATCAATTCCAACATGTCGACACCTGCCTTCACAGTTTTTAAGGCTGAAGTCACGTGAACCATCATTGACACTTACGAATGTTCAAAATATTTCCATAAACTTCTTTGATATTCTTTGTGGCTACAGAGGCATTGTTTTTCATATTCAAACAGCATTAGATGCTAAATGTGTGTCTTGTCATGTGCGATCACTATAAGGGATAAGAGTATACCAAACTTTACACATTATATAGGCTACACTTTAGGCATTTAGGTGGTTTGTTTAACTATTATACATGATGTATGTTTTTTGAGGGGTGGTTAATGAAAGTATTCCAAAATGAGACATTACTTTCTTGACAACCTAATACATGTACACCATTAGGTATACTACCTGTTGTGTGAATATTTAGCTCTTCCTCCATTCCTAGAACTATTGCATATTTATTAAAATAGAGAACTTGTGTGTCTGGGTATTGTTAATGTTAGTTATAGTGATAGCCTGATACTGTAATTAATATGTACGTTTTTAGCAGAGGTATCACAAGAGAATTTTTATCTATAACATATTCACCCAACACTTGTTAAAACCAAACAGATGAAACCCTAGAACTTTTTGTAGGTGAGCTTGGCCTCTTCAGCTCTACTGTTGAACAAGAGAGGTTCATTTATCAAAGTGGACATGGCATAACCTGATGGTTGAGAAGCTTGACTCACAATCTGTGGGTCACAGGTTCAAATCTTATTACTATATATGCTCACCTTTTAGCTACGGGTGCATTATAATGTGACAGGTAATCCCACTATTGGATTAGAGTAGCCCAATAGTTGACAGTGGCTGGTTTGATTAGCTGCCTTCTCTCTAGTCTATCCCTTGTAAATTATTGACACCTAGTCCAGATAACACTTGAGTAGCTTTGTGCTGTATTAAACAAACAAATGATCAAAACTGCTAGAGTTTTATCAGGTTTTATTAATGTGATTTACCAAAGTGTTTTGCTATTACATGTTTTTTTACTATCAATAACTTCATCACATAGATAGCTGAAATACTTGCAGTAATTATTATTTTTTATTTGCTGTTATATTAAAAGATTTAGAGCATATGGTAAAGATAATTTATAATATTTGAGTGGTTTTCACTTAAAATCTGTTGTTTAGTTGATTTTTTTATTTAGTATTGTGTAATGAATAGAATTGACACTTTTGTAGTAACTAACCAATCATTAATGATGTTACAAAAACATGTAGGTTCAAAAAATTAATTAAATTCAAAATTAAGAAACCCTTTAACTGAGTGCTTTCAAAAGGTAGACATCTCTTTATCAGAGGAAAACTGGGAATTATTTATATAGTAACTGGCTAAAAGAAGTTTTCAGCATTTATTTTTAATCATAAAAGTGTATTAAACTACCAGAAATTTAATGTATGGAAGTCCTTTTACCATGTGTTTGTGAGAGCATTGTATTAATTTGTTGTTACTTATTAAACATAATAACAAAAACAAAATGTAACCTTTCATATTTGATAAAATAGGTAAGATTACTTGTCAAACCACATGAATGTAGCTCTCCATGAATATTTCAATGGCAGTAGAAAAACGTCATAGTTACACAACAGAGCATGAAATTTAAAATAAATTTAAATTATCTAATTTGTGAGTAAAAGTTCAGTAGCACTTTGCTTATTGTTTAGTCTCAGCTTTTTTTTAAAAAAAAGAATCAGAATAGTATTCTTAATGTATAACGTTGTCTCATTTTCAGCTTTATTGATTACTTGGAACATACTGGTCCCACCTCCCAAGATGTTCAAAGTAATTGTTAAAGCTGAAAAGGAGACTATGCTGTGAGTGAAGGAGACTATTTTGATCTCTAAAAGAAGCTGAAATGATAAAATCAGCAAGGTGCTACTGAACTTTTACTCACAATTTAGGTAACATCACAGTTGATTGAAATGATCTTTCTTTTGGTAATTAAGCCTAAACTTTATGAAATCTTTGCTAATTTAAGTGGAGTTTGTGTTATATTTTATGTGACAGCAAAGAGTGAACAGTACCACTCTGTGGGGAATATGCTCCATATATCTTACAACTGTACTTTTATATTTATTGACTCGTGCTAGAGATTTCTCATTACCTTCAGAAAACATGATAGTTTTCTTCCATGATTTGCACACCTTTGTATAATAGTAGATTTGTATTTAGTGAGCATGACTTATTAACATTTTCTCCACACAGATAATATGTAATTTTGGACATTTTTTAGTGTATGACTAGCTTGCTTGATTTTTTATCCTTTGATTCAGAATGGCTACTGAACAGAATATTATACTTAATATTTAATAATTTTTTACTATATTATGCACAATAATGGCTAAGAAGTTTATGTTTTTCTGTTTTTGTTTTCTTAGACTGTAATGTATCATGTGTTTTATGCATTTATTTGAAATTAATTTGATTAACTTATGTTTTGCTTTATTTATATGTTATTGACAAGCTCACTCAGGATTATATTTTGAAATGTATGTATTATTTGTTTGAACCCGAAATCAGTATATTAGTAAATTAAATGTTAACTAATGCACAGAAATACATCGTCAACCATCACTTAATCAGTATTTAAAATCATATCTGTTTAAAAAAGTAATGGTTTTTCTATTCTATTGAGCTAAAGATATAATCCTAATTCATTTTAATGTTTTGAAAACAAGTTAAACCTATTTGTTTTCGTTTTGTGAAGATTTGTTTGAAATTATGGTGTAACTCACCATTAAATGTTCTTTTTAACACTATAAAAACATTCTGTTACCAGCTGAATATAACAAATCTAATTCTTGTGACATATTTCCAGTAGTTATTACTGAGTTTAAGCACTGTTATTTGAAGATGTTCTTTTTACTTTCTGCCTCTTAACTGAACACATTATTTTGAATTTCTTTTATTAAATTACTTTTCTGTTTCTTATTTAAGAAAATGAAAACTGAATGTCAAGGTCAATATTTAACTCTTCAAGGTTGTGTTAAATTACGTGTTTTTGATGTATTGTTAGTAATATTTTTTCATCTGTACATAAATTATTATTTGTACATCTATTTTAAATATTTGCTACTTGCTTCTACACCTTTTTAAGTTAAATGTGTAAAGTAACAACTTGTTATTCAGAGTAGATGAATTTGTAACTCAGAATTACAAAATGACACATTGTTGGAATCATCTTTTAACACAGAAAAGTGAGAATGGGGTTTGTGTGAGTGATTTTGTATTAAATATTAAATACAAAAGCTCAGTGAATGTGTGATGGATTTTCATACTAACAGATAAGTGTGTGTTTCTAATAAGATCAACTCATAGTAAAAATAAATCTTATGAACATTGGGCTTTGTTGATCAAAATATCCAAAATCTGTGTTATAATGCCCATTTAACTGATTGAGGAGTTTTAATTAGATAAAGTAAAATCTAGGTTCTTCATGTTTGTAGTCACTTAGTTGAGTGACTGATATCAAACTTTGTTTTTAAGTTCATAGTCATTAGCATCCTTTGAAAGTGTTAAGTGGATATCTGATATATTTAAATACGTTTTTGGTTAGTTATGTCAAATATATTTGTAGCAGATGAATGAGGTTACTGCTGTTATTAATAAGGTAGAAAATTACAGTTTTAATTTTTGTATCAGGTAAAAAATGCATAGCTTTATCTAAGAGTGTTTATAATACTGAATAAAAAAAAAGAACTTAATTGTTGCTGTTGAGTTCCTTTTTTTATTGTTACATAGTATTGTAGCTTGTAGAGAATTTGTTTATATGATATTTGTATAGTGAAGATTATTTGATATTAAACTTTGAAATACAGAATGATCTTCAACAGGTCATGTTTGTAACATTAATTATGAAAATATTAGATAACTATATGCATAGAAATGTAAAATAATGGGAATATAGAACAGATAATTTTAATAGAAGATAACATTAAAACGAATTAAACATAAAAATTTGATTTGCAAAGTATATAATTCATAATTTTTCCAAATTTGTTATGAATAACAACAGTATCTCAAAGTTTTTATTATTTTGTTAATTGGCTCTAATGCATATCCCTTCTCTATGAAGAATGCTATCCATTGAGGAGTTCTCTATGAAGGAGTACTGGTGAGAACTTTTTGAGTGAATTTAATGCCAATCCTCAAGTCTCATTGATAAAATAATAAAAAAAAAAGGTTGGGCCAGAATGACATCACTAAATAAAAGATTCATTCACCTTTAAACATTTTGTTATTTAATGTATCGGGCTCACACTATCCATTTTGTGCTAAATTAATTTAATATTACCCAGGCATTTACATAAGGGTATTCTAGACTGAATTGTTTGTGAAACCATCTCATGTATACTAATGAGATTTTGTTTTAAGATTGTCTGTTTTATCTCTCAAAGCATATCTTCAGTTAAAAACTTTTATGATGTTATGAGGAATTGTGAAAAATTTGTTTTTATTTTTCAGAAGTAAATGTGCAAGAGTAAGCATTAAGAAGTTGAAATTATATATAATTCTGGCCCATCCTATAGATATAAATCCATTACACTAATAGTATGTACATGCACAAAGCTTACTTATTAAGAAAAATGACTCTGCAAGATTAGAGCTGCTTTTAGTACCAACCTGAAAAAATTTTTCCACACGCAGATATATATATATATATCTGTGTGTGTGTACAAACGTATATTTCAATTAGAATTACTTGTCAGGAAGTGTTTAAACAAAGGTTATATTGTAGCAATATTTTAGTTAACTTGTTATTTGTTTGTTTTATGTGACCTACTTGTAGCATATCTTTGGAATTATTAAAACTTTTTTGTTCTTAGATCTGTAGGGTCATTTTTCTTTAATATTTGGTTAATATACGTATATTCATTATTATATTAATATATATATATTAATAGATTTTGGTCTTCAAGTATTTCATTATTATTATTATCCTTGTAGTTTTTAGGATTTTTTTAAAGTTTTGAAATCTTCATGAGAGTATTTCAAGCTCAATAATTCAGTTTTATATATATATCATTATTATTTTTTGTTTAAGGCCTGGAAATAGAGGACAGTCTTTATAATGTGTGACAAATGTATATTTGAAATTGCAACACATTTGGAATGAAAAAAGTTTATCAAATCTATCTCTAGAAAGTAGTAATAACTTGGAATTTCTTATCACAGATGTTTGAAAAAAAAAAAGATCATAACTTTTCTTTTGCTTTTTCACCAATTAAAAATGATATCTTATTTTTGTTTTCCTTTCTCATTAATAATCTTTGATATAACTGTGCTTGTAGTTACTTTTTCCCACTAATCAAGAACAATATTACCTTGACAATGGTTTACCTTTCTCAGTAATTAAGAATGGTGTAATTGTGCTAATAAATATATATTTTTATTTATTAAAAGTAACAATCTTGCTAGTAGCCATCTTTTTAATTAAGAGTAACATATTATTCTGGTGGATATCCTTTCTCATTAGTTATGCATGGTACTACCTTGCTGGTGGTTTGTCCTTTCTCGTTAGTTATGCATGATACTACCTTGCTGGTGGTTGTCTTTCTCGTTAGTTATGCATGGTAGTACCTTGCTGGTGGTTGTCCTTCCTTGTTTGTTATGGATGGTACTACCTTGCTGGTGGTTGTCTTTTCTCATTAGTTATGCATGGTAGTACCTTGCTGGTGGTTGTCCTTTCTCGTTAGTTATGCATGGTACTACCTTGCTGGTGGTTGTCTTTTCTCGTTTGTTATGCATGATACTACCTTGCTGGTGGTTGTCTTTTCTCGTTTGTTATGCATGGTACTACCTTGCTGGTGGTTGTCTTTTCTCGTTTGTTATGCATGGTACTACCTTGCTGGTGGTTGTTCTTTCTCGTTAGTTATGCATGGTACTACCTGGCTGGTGGTTGTCTTTCTCGTTTGTTATGCATGGTACTACCTTGCTGGTGGTTGTCTTTTCTCGTTTGTTATGCATGATACTACCTTGCTGGTGGTTGTCTTTTCTCGTTTGTTATGCATGGTACTACCTTGCTGGTGGTTGTTTTTTCTCGTTTGTTATGCATGGTACTACCTTG